CGCGTACACGCAGCCCATGAAGATGCAAATGACCTTGCCGTACTCGTACCGCTTGGTGTGGCCCTTGGGCGGCAGGGGGAAGCGCTCGCCAATGGTGGCCTCAATCGTCGACGACGCAGAGGAGACGAGGTTGCCGAGCTGGTAGCTGGTGCCGACGACGAAGGTGCGGAAGGAGCCGGGCGACAGCTCCATGAGGTGGATGGGGATGACGCCCCAGGCGCCCTGGACGCAGAACTGCTGGAAGAAGGCGGGGGCGATGACGCTCGAGTCGCTGACGAAGGTGTAGGGGTACAGCAGGGCGCCGCCGACAAAGCACATGGTGATGATGGAGAGGCGCCGGCCGAAGATCTGCGACACGTAGCCCACGACGGTGCCGCCCGTCATGGCGCCCAGGTTGGCGACGACCTGCGTCACGGTGACGGCGTCCTTGCTGAAGTTGTATTGGTTCTCCAGCATCGTGGGGTAGATGTCCTGCGAGCCGTGTGACATGAAATTGAAGCCGGCCATGAGCAGCACCATGTAGATGAGCAGCAGCCAGTGCTTCTTGAGCGCCACTTTGCCTTCGGCCATGAAGGTCGCCGAGATGTTGTGGCCCGCCGCGCGCACCTGTTGGCGTTCTTGGTAGGCTTCGGTCTCGGGGAGGCACAGACGGAAGAGGATGATGAGGACGGGCGGGCATGCGCCGAACCAGTAGAGCGGCCGCCAGCCGTGCGACGTGGTGTTGACAAGGCCACGCGCAAAAACGGTCGCTAGGAGGTAACCGAAGGCGTATCCCTGCAGCGCACAATCTTGTCAGCCAGGGTCTGTGAGGCGGCCGTCGGAACGAAGCGAGCGACTAAGCGCGGAGTGTGGGGAGAAACAAGGGGAGAAACAAACCTGCTGCAGCATTCCCGACACAATGCCCCTCGCCTGGTCGGGGCAATCTTCAAGCGCCGTCGCAGCAGCATTGCCGTATAACCCGCCCATGGCAATACCGAACAGCGCGCGCACGCCCAAGAATTGCTTGTATGTGTTGCAAAAACCAGTGCCGAGCTCCAGGACAATGAACAGGACGTTGTTGACGACAAATGGCCACTTCCTACCGTACCTATCGGCAGCGATACCGAACAGGATAGAGCCGACGGAGCGCAGCATCAGCACCAGAGTGATGCCCCAAGTGATGTCCTTTTTGCTCTTTCCAAACTCCTCGGCGAGATCCTCGACGGTTAGCGAGACGGTGAAGAAGTCGAAAGCGTCCCATGTCCAGGCGATGAAGGCAACGAGGAAAAACATCCATTGACGCGTGTTGAGCAAGCGCAGCAGTTTGATAGGATTGGGCGCCTTGTGCATGGGCGGCTTCAACGAGGGGATGCGCGTTGCGATGTATTGGCCGACACTGACATGTTCGTCGGGGCCCGGCTGGGCGGTGCCCGAGACTGTGGTGCTGGTGATTTGTCCCGTGGTAGCATGATGGTACGGATATGCGGGCGAGGGTTGCGGAGAAATGGATTCGGTTTGTTCGGGCAGGTCGTCGTGTTTCTCGGCCATGGTGGGCGGTTCAGTGGGTCGCCAAGGTCGCGACAAGGTCTTGGGTGCAGGGCGGGGCGGAGGGGGCTGCGGGCGAAGCCTCGAGCCAAGACGTGACAAGCAACGACAAGCCTGGCGATCAATGTCGGCAAGACAAGACGAGGAGGAGGAGAAGAGAAAGACGAGATGCAGTCTCTCAACGGCGTCGTGAGCTGGGCCTGGGCAGAGGAATGGCGGCTGACTACCAAGAAACGGGCGAAGGAGCTAGGCTTTATACCAGCGCCGTTCAGCAGCAGGCGTGCCACGGCGCCGAGATGGGCGTGCAGATGTGATGGTCGTCGATGGCTGCGGAGCCCCGCGTTGACTGGCCAAGACCTGGGGTTGCCCCACTGCACGCCCGCTCCCCGCCTGACTCTGACCATTCCTTCGGCCTTTTACCACCACTGTGCCACCTTCTCCGTTATCACCACTGCCCTACCAAGCCGACCACCAGACCGACACCCCAGGCCATTGTGCTCCTCTCCATCATCATTTCCCTTCAATTCATTTCTCATCCTCCCCAGACTCCAACTCCCACCAAACTCTCCCATCCCCAACGCCAAACTCAATCTCAGCCCAGCAGAGGCCAGCCCAGTCCATCATCGCAACCCCGGTCCGCCCTCCAGCAAACCGACTCATCGGCAACCTCGTCTCGGGGCAATCGCCGCCGCGCGCCAGGGCCACCACCCTCCAACAAACCCAAAACCCCGTCACACACGTCAAAAAAGAAAATTTTCCCTCCCTAGTTCCCCGACCGATCGGCGCACGTAGCTTCCCCAAGAGTCAGACTTCTGGAGTCGCGGGCTCCGCGTCGCTCACCTGCCACAATCGTCATGGCGTCGAGCATGTCTACACCTTGTCCGCACCGCGCTAGCTCGTCTGGGCATAATTTGCCGGCAGGATTCCTGGGTTGAGCCCGGCTTGTCTGTTTTGACTGGTGCCCGCGCTTAGCGTCCTGCCAGACCGAACTGCTGGGGTCGGTGCCTTTTCCCGAGGGTTGCTGACGCCTGCGGCTGCGGCTGCGGCGCGGCGTTGTGCTGCTTCGCTGGTGTTCGCGGTTGGTTGGGGCGGGTGCGCGTCGATAAGATGGTGGTGAGTCCTCTGAATCTGCACGAAGCAATCTTTCGAAGATGAGATTGTGTGTTGTGCTCGAAATGGAATCAATGGGGCGACGACCCCCCTGTGTTGCCTGCAAGTGACAGGCAACCCCTTTGCTTCAAGCTCCTTTCCCGAGGTACAAATGTCGGTCGCGACACGCTCGCGTGCTGGTGCGTCAGATCTACCAAAACATATCGCATTGTTCTCGCTGCTTCCAACGTCATCGCATAAGACGCTTGTTCAGTTCGAAGTGGACTTTTTCAGTCCCAACACCAGGGCAGCATACACCTGACCATGTCGCAACTGCTTGTTTGCACGGAAGACAATTCCTCGGACAACCCTTTGGCCTGCCGTCTTGAACGCTGTGCTGTGCTCGGACAAGCTGAATCGACGAGATCCTTCTCAGTGATTCGTTGACCTTTCCACAACGCCACTTCCGGAGAGACCAGGCATCTTCTCGCCAGTATGAGCACTGGTCTAGCAGACAGAAGTGTCTGAACGGAGAAATCGAGTCGCCCACGCTTCGCCGCCACATCTTCCCGCTCGGTCGACGCCTTGTGCCTGATGCGCGCGCGCGTGTGAGAAGCCTTTGAGACTTCGCCGTTGGGAAATGTCCGGCTTTTCGTTCGTGTGGCGTTGCACCAACTCACCCACACGCTGATTTCGTAGTGCACACATCTCTGTGTTTCATAAACTCACACTTGACACCTTATGCCGAAGCGCCCGCCCGAGATGCTGGCTTTGACGTCCATAAAAGCCCAAACGGGCTGCGAATCTCATGCAATGGGGGAGGTTTTTCGACAAAGGCTCTCCACGTCACAAGCAGAGACAGACCTTTGGTGCAAACTTGGACAAGGCGCGAGGCTGCTGTGGGCATGCATCGTCTTGCCGTTGAAGCTTAGCTCACCAGAAGGTCGTGGCGGCAACGAGGGATGAAGTCACCACAACACGTTCGACGAAATAGGCAGGCTGAAGCCACGGATTTTTGGTAATAGACGGACCTTCGTTGTCCATGAGCCAGAGTCAAGCACCAAGCTAGGGCTACTCGAGCCCCACGTGTTGAATCGCTCCATGAGGGCTGAGAAATGACGATAGCAGCGGCCTCTATTTTTGCCCACTGCGCCATGTTGCGTCTTTGAAAGGCCGATGGGTAGAAGGAATGTGGCGACGGCGTCTTTGGCCAAACGGAATTTAAGCGAGTAGAACCAAATGCGTCTGCGGAAGCGTTGGTAACACAGGAGTTTGTGAGATGGTATGGTTGCGCGCCCTGGATGAGATGGATGGTATGGCCAGGGAGTTTTGTCACATCCAAACAACCGATTTGCCGGGGATTCGTGCCACATGGAGGAAGTATTAGAGACTGTCCAAACAAACGGTATGACCACAGCGCGGGCGCACACCCATTTGGGCTGTGGTTGGGTGAATACAGACCAGGGCTGAAGAATTGGATTGGCACAGCCTGGTTGTATGCAGGGTAGCCCACGGTGCTGTGGTGGTTCCACAGGCATCGTGCTACCACAGGCATCGTGCTACCACAGGCAGGCTGCGGCTATCATGTCCTTCGTTAAAGAGGCCGAATGCTCTCCGAAGCAGCTCTTCAGCGGTTGATTCCCCATACAATCCAGAGCTCCACTTCGTCTTCGAAATCGTCAGTAATTTAGCGCAGTATGAGGATCGCCCTCCGCCGAAACCTCCATTTCTGACGAGCCCTGGCAGGAGACTCAATGGCACCCACTCCCGATCAATCAGCCCTGCCGACGGCATCGACATCGCTGAGCTGGTGATATCTTTCGTCGGCGTCGTCCTAGCCACAGGATTTGCGTATGCGTCGTTGAGCTTGCAGCGAAATGCTCGCCGCCATTCTGGTAATGTACCGGGTCAAACTTGTGCCACCTGACTGACTTGGATGTCAGCGATTCTGCCAGTATGCGAGCCTAGGACGCGGTCATAGCCCCCGCCGCCGTGCCGTGCGGCGGTGTCAAGAGGAAACGGTTGGGGACGCTAGGTAGCGTCGAGGCTGGAAGCTTGGAAGGCTTCTGCTGGTGAAGACTGCGGAGTTTTGCGAGGAGTCATTTTGCGCGTGCGGCGTTGAAATGTGCGCCACAAGCTCCAAGCCCATTCGGAGTTGGACGTCTTTGTCAAGATGCGGAATTGCAGGTGTAAGAGGATAGACTGATGCTTGTTGTAAATTAAGGCTTTCAAGCGTTGAAGGATAAATCAAGCGGCATTGGAGACTGACACCAGCCTCTCCATCCATCGCTTCCTGCGCACAGTAATCAGCATGAGCTGCCTACCGTCACTGTTGCGCCCAACCCACCTTTATATCTTGAAAGCCCGGCACCACATCCAAACAAAAAGCTGTCGTGGTGCAAGCTAGCACGCTATGTGCCGGTAGGTGGCAAACTTACGTAGTAAGAATCCTCCTTTAGGACTAACGCGTAGAGATCTGAGTTCGAGTCTCAGCGATGGCAGTAATTTTTCTCCTTCTTTTTTCTTTTTTGCCGGAGTTTGGAGATTGACTTTGTGGTCTTTGGTTTTCGGGTGGGGCGATGGAGGAGCCGCTCTTTGGCTTTTGATGGTGGTGCTGTGGCGCTGGCCTTGAAGGCGAGCGTGCTCTGTGGGGAAACGTCCACGTTTGTACGACCGTGAAGGCGCGCAGCCCCATTGAAAGATCCAAAAAACCTGACTCGAGGAAGCTGTTTGCACGCATGTCCGATGTGCGCTTCATTCGCGGCCAAGGCGTCATTGGGTGAATCGTGTTTCCGTTTCTAGTCTCTTCGACCCAATCACCACGACGGCCGAGGTTGACAATTGGTGTCAAGAAGGGGTGGCATTGCGTTAGAGACTGAGCGCTCTTCCGCGAGACGGGACTGGGCAGCTTCGATGCTGTCCATGAAATCCAGCGCCGAGTACGATGTGGGCAAACTGAGGAACAAGCCTGGAGCAGCGGTGCGGGAGCTGAGAGCAGCGAGTTGTCGCATTGCGGCGAGCGGGCTTGCTGGCAGAATACATTAGCTCAAACGTTTGTAGCGGAGCTGATGCCAAAACGTCACTCAATGTAAGTGGGTTGTAGAAACGACGTCCGTCGTCGAGTTTCGCCGTGTCGTCAAGCGGCAGACAGCCAATCAGAGAAAGCGCGAAGCGCCCGCTTACGTCGCGCAACCTTCAAATAAGGTATGGACCGTGCGCTCAGATCGACCATGGTTGCCTGCCAAAATTAGCCGACGCGACAACGTCACGTCGTGCTTTCTTTCTCCAACGCAACGCGTCTTTCTCCCTTCACAACCGTCGCGCGTTGTCTTTCGCCACATCCTGTCTCGACTTCAATCTTCGCATTCTACTACACCAAATTCTTGTGACTGGCACTGTTTGCAATCATGGGCAGATCCCGGGCATCCAAGCGAAAGAAACCCCAGCCGCTTAAAGGCCAGGACGAGAAGAACGAGTCTCACAAGCCTACGAGATCTCCGTGTGGTCGGGATCGAAAGCGCGGCAAGTTCAAGAACCAGCAAGAAGAATCAACGCCGGAATAGCAATCCCCCAGCCGCCAGCCCCAAATCCGCGTCAAAGTCGAGGAACAGGAATTGGCGACGTATCAGGAAACCGCAGGCGAACAGTCTCAGATCCAAGACACCATGCCCTCTGGCCAGCCAACAACGCCGAATATCAAAGTCGAGGAAGAAGAATCGGTGCTGGAGCTGGAGAAAGTCTCGTCCGTCCTGGCTCAAATGCATGGGCCCGTGTCCTCTACTCAGCAATCGACTTCCAATATCAAAGTCGAGGAAGAGGAATCAGCGCTGAAACCTGAACTCAGAGCCGGTAGTACTGACCCTCTAGCAAGCTCATGGGATGGGAAGCCGGACTCGGTTGTCCCTGTCCTCCCCGGATCTCGAGTCAGACGCGGCGAGCCCCAGTACCCGATCCCAGTTTATATTACGACCGAAGCACTGCGCTACCATCAGAGACCAGGAGAAGACTCTGGAATTCTCAGCGTTACTCCTGCGGAGAATGTGGTGAGATGGTCAATCTACACGCAAGAATCAACACCCGGGATTACGTTCGCGAGCCTATTGATCTGCAGGAACCTGCTCGATTCTGAAGAGTCTACTCCAACAGGCACCTTGTTTGACAACGAATTTTTTGGAGAACTTTGCTTTGAGTTGAGGCACAAAAGCAAAGCGAGGCTTGTTAACGACGTTGGAAGACTCCTCGTGCCCTCTGCAGCAGAGCTTCGCATACGGGGCGAACCTAGTCTGAGTATCCTGGCTGAAACGGTCAGACAGACCTGGTGCAGATGTATTCCCTTGTTTCCGCCATCCCCCGACCCGGAAATTTCTGTGGGCTTCGACAAAGAGGCTTTCACCAAAGGAAGAATGGCAAAGATGCGACCTCACCTCGGATGTGGATCGAAGACAAGTCTATTTACTGCCACCGCCGACGTGTATTTCCCGTTCCTGGTGGTCGAAGCCACACCCTCACTTTCTCCTGAGGGGCGAAACTTTTGCGCGATGGAGCTCCGAAATACTCCCCATGCGGCCACCGCAATGCGCGGCGTTGTCGAGCTATTTCGATACGTCGATCGCGCGTACGAGATCGATCGCAACATTCTTACCTGGTCAATCACATACGACACTGATACGGTTACAATCAACGGTCACTATGCGGTGATTGACGGCAAAGAAATTCGCTACTATCAGCACAACGTTGCGAGATATTTTTGGTCTTGCAACCTCAGCATGCCTCAGTCCTGCGATCATGATCAGTGGTTGAGTCATCGCTTTGTCAAAAGCTTGTACAAGACCTGGGCATTATCGCATTTCGAGCGAATATGCTCGGCCATTGACGACTTGCCTCCTGGGGATGCGTTCAGTGCCAGTTCATCTCTACCAGGATCAGAGAGCCCGTGACCAAGAAACGGCGACTGAGGAGTCATCGTGGCACATTTCTATCAGTCTTTGAAGAATTTCCACGACTCATTGAGTTGTGTGAATACCATGGACCTGTATGGTGGCAGATGCGGTAATGACAAGTTCCTGTGCAATCCGAACAATCGAAAAGTTTTGGTGTGTGCTGTTGCGGATTGTGTCTGACTGTTGCTGCTCTATTATTCCCGCTAATCGCGCTCTATGCTCTGCTAATTTGACTATAAGACTGAAAGGACTTGATGTGTGGCGCCATGCAATGCACCGAAATGAAGGACGCCTGTGAGGTGGAGCCTGCCACCTCTACTCTCGTTCCTCAGGAGCTGGCCTATTCTCCTCAAGAGACCGACTCTCGGAATATGACGGAGGGGTAGCGCCGTCTCGCAATGACATTTGCACATCCGTTTGCCTCTGCAACCTCTTCCTAACCTCTCTGACCAACCGGCCCGGGTGCAGGACCAAGAATCCCACCATGACTTCCAGCATGGGAACGCCATCGAACAGGTAGATGAAGACTTCGTGGCTTCCAACGAAACCACTCGTTCCGCCAACAAACTCGATACCTCTGACGATACTCCGAACGATCAGCATGACGGCCGCAATCTCAAGGACGATGAAGTGGCCCAGCCAATTCACGCCAGGCTCGGCGCACATGTTGGGAGTGGGCGATCTCCTTAGCCTGGCGTGCATGCGGCCACAGGTGATGCTGAACACAGCCAGAGCAATGAGCTGCGCAAAGAGACCGACCAGGACGACGATTTTGCTCAGGCGCCGGCCCTGAGCAGTTCCGCTTGCAGGCAAAACGGTACCAATGAGCTGGGTGAAGATGGCGACAATGTCGAAAAGGACGTAAAGCTTGGTGGGGGAACAGGACCAGCAGGAAATGCAGCAGCGGGCGCAGCAGCCCCTGTCCCGTCTGCGCTTCTTTGGCGTCCCGTCGTCGTGGAGAGCTTGTACGATGCGTCCGTACGACATGTAGACGCTGGCTGCGAGGAGCGGCGGACCGACGAGGAGTAACATGTTTTGTAGGAGCCAGGGATCGAGGATGGTGACCTGAGTGTGAGCCTTGGAGCGTTCGTAGTAGCCGAAGAGCTCGCCTGGAGGTGCATTCATGTCAGCGCTTCCGTCTTATTCACATTCGCAAAGACTGCTGCAGACTTACAGATACCGCCGAGGATGAAGAAAAGAAAGAACCAGGCCCGCAGCCAGATCAGATACGCCAGGTGTCCGAGAGTGGCCAGCGCGAAGAGGGCCATGAATGCGTAGCCGGCGCTCTCGCTTGGTCGGTATTCCCAAAACACGACGACCATCGTGCCATTGACGACTGGGCCAAAGGGAGGGCCATCGTTGAACGCCATTTCGATGACGTCGGGGCGCGTTGAAGAGACTGAGAGTGCTGAACGCTAGTCGATAGCGGTGTTGACGGAATTGAAGGATTGGAGAATCGGCGTCGGTGCGAGCTCAAGGCAACACAGTGGCTGCGAAAGTTTGACTGAATCGGTGGGCTCAAGCGTCGACAGAGCCTCTTCGAGAATTGGCCGATCCGAGAATCGGTGTTGCAAGAGGTGAATGATGGAGGATGAAAAAGAATCGCGACGCCGGAAACCTCGGTCCATAAATGCGTTTGGAAATCACCAAACGCGAGCAAACGCAGGACGAAAATAGGACGCGAGGAAGAGAGTGCGCGCCTAGGTACCCACCTTTGATGTTTATTCGCATATGACAAGTGCGAAAATTCATTTTTCGTTTGTCGCAATTGCCTTATCGGGAAGTGGCCGCTGACCAATAGGGGCGATTCTCTTGTTCTGCCTGGATGCCTGATGCGAGAATTCCACCTGAGCGACACCCCTCGCAGCCGCAACGCCTCCGTTGTCACAACCTCGGCCGAATCATCTAGTCTTCCCGTCGACGCCCAAAGCGAAAAATATGACGCCGGCGGTCAGATCGCAAACGAAAAAGACCAAAAGACCTCATCGCAAGTCGCGGGCGGGCTGCACAACTTGCAAGAGGCGAAGAGTCAAGGTCAGTCGTCTCGTCCTTTTTCTTTGACGTCGCCCGCTATCCTGTCTCAATTTCCATCGAAATCTCCTGTCTCTTTCATAGGAGCACCGCAATGGAATCCTCGCCATTTTTGCCCGCCGACTGGGATTCACAGTGCAGCATCTACTATTCCTCGGGAGTCTTGTGGATGGCTGCGGCCCTGATCGTCATCCACACGCTACTGCTCCTCGCACCATCCATTTCCAGAACTCAAGCCATCGCCGCCACTGACATTGAAAGCTTTCAGTGCGATGAGGAGAAGCCCTGCAGTAACTGCGTCCGGTTTGGCGTACCATGTGATCTCGCGCCAGGGGTCGAGACGGTCGTCATATCAGATTTACCTGCCGTCGTCTCGGTGCGACGAGGTAGAGGAAGGCCGCGAAAGAACTGGAAAGACACGACATCAACGACTCCATCTTCTGCAAAAGATGCAGCAATTGACGAAAAGTCCCCGCTCGAGCAATCTTCGCAATCAACTGGCAGCGCAATTCCGTCGCCGCCTGCAAGTG